GTGTGTGTGTGTGTGTGTGTGTGTGTGTGTGTGTGTGTGTTTTCACCATATGTTGTGTGTGCTCACATCAGAAAGCGCATTTGTTGACCGTGCTTTGGATAAACGAACGCTCGTTTGATCTGTAATTTAAATGCATTTAAAACACACAGAAGGATGTTGCAGCAACAGTTACTGTCTCAGTACGTCCACATCTAATGTATCTCAGAGACGGGTACTGCCTCCTCACCTTTCTCATACCCCACCGTGTGTGTGTGTGTGTGTGTGTGTGTGTGTGTGTGTGTGTGTGTGTGTGTGTATGTGTGTGTTTGTGTGTGTGTGTGTGTGAGGCTGTTTTTTGTGTACTCTGTACTGTGAATCTGTGTGAGCAGCTATTGTCTGCTCGCACTCCAACAGGGGCTTCAAAGTGAATTATTCATGCGAGATTTGAATACATGCAAATTGTCCTCTCCCCTCCGCTGGCACAGATCCAGGTTACCTATGGCAACGGCGCCTTCAAGAAGCATTTTTTCAGCTCTCCTCCTCCTCCTCCTCCTCTTCATGCCCCTGCTTCTCTCAGGCACCCGCCTTTCCAACGTGTTATCCCACCCAGTCACATTGTTTCCATGTTGCAACACCAGGCTGGGAGGCTGCACAGAGCAGGGTGGCAAAGGTATCCCATATTTCACAGTCAAGGTCACATGCGCATGGAGGATGGATGGTGTGGTTCATTAACTCTAGGTTCAGAAGTCCAGGACATGATGCCACGCCACTGGAGAAGGTGTTTTTGGGTGATAACACCATCAGCATCACTACAGAGCGGTCACATGATCAAATATGATTCAGATGAATTCACAGCAAACAAAGTATATGGTTAAAACGGTTGGTTTCACTACATTTCATTGATGTTCAAATATCCTAGATGTTTATAAAATGAAATAAATTGTGTTTGCATTTGAAAATAAAAACATTTGGACAAATTAATACAAAGGAAAAACTGACATATCACGTATTTATAACTTGTCTACAGATAAAATGATTTAAAATATGTTTGATCAATTTATTAGACATATAAAAAGGAATTTTACATAAATGTGAATCAGTAATTTAATGTATATAATTAATTTTCTATAAATGTTAAGATGCAGTCTAAAGCAGAATTTCAGAAGGTTTTGATCATGTGGTTATTGGTAGATTAAATTTGGCATCAAACGAGGAAATATTAACATGTAAGAGCGGGATTTTATTAAAAGTCTAAATAACTTATTTGCTCCTTTTGTTTTTTCTTCAATCAAACAGAAAGAAATGTGCCATCCGCAGGAAAAGTAAACATGGTATTGAAGATTACAGACGGCTGGTTAAAGTAGGTTTTCCTTGAGCAGACACAAGGTCAAGTTCAGGCCATGAAGAGACCACCTAAAGGAGCTCAGTGGTTCAGAGAGCACTGGCAGAGCCGCTCGATGCTGCCACCTAGTGGGTGAGACCAAACCGGTTGCCTCAACCAGAATATGAGAGATGCTTTAAAAGAATAATTTAAAAATGCACAAATCATTTGACGCTGTGGCCCCCAGACTCTGGAGCTCTCTCCCCCTGAGCCTGAGATCAGTGGACTCAGTGGTCTCCTTTAAAATGCAGCCGAAAATTCACCTGTTCAAGCTTTGGTGTGACTTTCATCTCCACCTTCTCCTTACTCTTCTCTTTCTGCCTTTCCTGAGATCCTGATTACCTCTTTCTTCATTTTTTTCTCTCCCTTTCCTTACATTTTTTAATCATAATGTTTTATTTTTATAATATTTTTTATTCTTTTTTCCTTTTTATTTTTTTCTTGAGAAGTGCATTGTGACTTTCATCTTGAGAGGCGCTATATAAAAGATGATTTTCTTTCTTTCTTTCTTAATTTATTTTATTTTTTATGTTATTTATTTTGGTCATTTACAAGGAAAAGAAAGAACACGGTAATACAGAATCTCGATGGAGAAGGTTTCTTTCTCTTTCTTTCTTTCTTTCTTTATTTTATTTATTAATTTTATTTTTTATGTTATTTATTTTGGTCATTTACAAGGAAAAGAAAGAACACAGTAATACAGAATCTCGATGGAGAAGGTTTCTTTCTTTCTTTCTTTCTTTCTTTCTTTCTTTATTTATTTCTTTCTTTCTAGGTAATTAAAAACTACTGTTAAAAATGAATTCCAGTTAAAAAATATTATATGTAGGACATTTTTATAAAGTTTAAAACAGTTTGTTGATCAGTTTAATTCAACTGAAGTCAGAGTTGTGGGAGAATGCTGACAACATAAAATTATGGACTTGACCCAAGCTTGCTAGTTAAACATAAAACCAGTGTAACGTCCAGAAAAGGTCAATATTGAACTATACATCGACCTACATAGTGACCGGTCATCTGCAGAAATAAGTCCACTATCTAGGTGGATTTTCTATTCTCTCTTCTGACACCCAGAAGATTCTGCAGTGCTTGTTGACAGTCCATGAAGACAAGATTGTCCACTAGGTCTCCAGACAAATACTGTCGTCTTAACTCAGACTGCTGGATTCCACACGCTGAATGAAAAGTGAACTTTTACGACTCATAAGTTAAATAATCATTAAATAATCATATGGTTGAATGAACCAGATGTTATATAAAATCTTTGAATAATCTGTGCCTAATTCAGTGAAGCTGGAATGAATATTGTTCTGACAATGATCCATTTATACCTTATGATCAGAACTGTTTGATTTAACAAGGTAATCATTATCTACACTCATACACATTGTTCATTAGATGCAAATTAAGGTTAAGGTCACCACCACAAGATTCTTTATCCACAGAACTAGAAGAGCTTGTATCTGGAAGGTGTGGTTTTTTGAGGGATGTTTAGTAACGCCTACAAATATGTTAAATTCTGATTTGCAGAAATCATAAACTCTAGATTAATACATCTAGAGGGACTTCCCGAGTTATTCAGTTTCGAGCGGAACTCTGAAGTGGCCAATTCGGAGCCAGCCTCCTTGAGACACCTCTCTGTTTTGACACACAGTCAAACCTGTTGGCGCACTGCCAGCTGACACAGCCGTACGACTCCTTAAGAGTCCATCCATGTTAGACGCAACAAACTTTCATGCCTGTTGTGACCAGGAGACGTCTCTAGACCGGATTGGTCGCACCGCGGTTAATCTACGAACTTCAGCGCCTTAAGGTCCACCCGACTTCCTGACGTTCCGGATCTGAGCAGGGGTCTCCGATCAGGGTTCGTAGACACAACAGACTGTGTCTGATGTTGTTTTATTAATAATCAACTTTCTAGTTTATAGCAGACAAATTCTTTTACATCCAGAATTCACAATCCCTTTCAGATACAAAGATTCTGATACACATCTACTTTACTACTGTCATGGTCTGTGTCTGCTTCTCCCCTCATGTGTCTCCTTGTGTCCTCCATTCGTTCTCTAGGTGCTCCTTTTGTGTCCTAGCGCCCTCATGTGTCATGTCTGCGTCTTCCTCATGTGTTTTCTGGTTTTCCCCATGCCCCTAGATCTCCAGCCCTCTAGGTTTCTCAAGTCATTTCCTTTAGTTACAGCCTTTCATGATTTAGTATGTTTTTTTCCCATCAGTGTTTATTATTTTTCTCCCCCCTCCCTTTGAATTGTAGTTATGTTTCCTGCTCTTTTGTATTAGGTTTTATTCTTAGGTCAAGTTAGTTTCTCCCCTGATGAGTCATTGCCTTCACCTGGTCCTCCTCCCACACCCCACACACCTGCAGCTCATCTCCCTCTCATCCTCCCTGTGTATTTAAGCCCTGTCTTGTCGGTCCATTGTTTGTATTCTGTCAGTCTTGTCTTGACTCCAATGTTTTTGATCTCAGCCTTCTCTAGCCTCCTGTGTTTTTGGTCTCTAGTTTTTGGACTGCCTTTGGATTTATTTTATTTTTTGGCTCCTCCAATAAAGGATTTTTTCTTATATCATTTACTGCCTCGTGTCATCTTGGGTTCCTGCATTTGGGTCCTAACCATTCAGCGTAACGTGACAACTACCTGCAACACACATTACATCACCACATATACACTCCATCACATAAAGCTTGTCATGAGTTCTCATTAGTTTAGAAAATAATACAATTCATTTTTAACTATATACTTGACTCTGCCTGAATTAATATTAGATGTGTTTATGGTCCCTGAACAAGCAAAGAATACTAAACTCTTCTGGTTAAACATTCAAAGATCGATCAGGTTGATATTTCATATTTATATAGAATCATCACATCTTATTGCTCATAATTAAATATGCAGCCGTTATGCTATAAAGTGTGATGCTACACTAGTGGCATTGCCTCAGTTATAATTGAAAAGATTTGACTGAAAAAGCAACAAAAATACAGAAAACTATAAAGCAGAATTTTTCATGGGCCAAATTAGACATTAAAATCAACCAATTGTACCACAGATCAGAAGTAACTTCATTCAGTCATGTTTCCATAACCTGTTCCTGCAAAAACAAGAAGAGCTTTAACACTAAAATCAGACCTATCTCACTAATAAAATGGTTTCAGAGTCCAGATTTCATCCTTAAGAGCCTCCTGCATGATTTAGATGTTTTCCTGCTTCAATCACTGAATTACCTCTTGACCATGCATCCCTGTTATCCACACATTCATTCAAATCAGGTGTGTTGGAGCAAAGCGGCATCTAAAACACAATGGATCGTGGTCCTCAAGGTCCAGACTTGGACCGAAACAGCCCAGAGGTGAACAAAAATTTTAATGTTTTACTTAGAATAACCATTTATCTCATTTTCATGTTCCATTACTTTATGTTAAAGAAACAAATCCTCAGGCAATCTCAAAACTAGAATTTGAATAAAATAATATAAAAAAGTTACAGTAACTGCTGACAACTGAATGTGTTTTAGTGATTAAAACAAAAAATAAATCAATCCTACTTCAATTCTAAAAAAAACGCATATACTGTAAAATGTTTCAATCACGTGGCTCCCTCTAGTGGACAACATAACACATTGCACCCTGTTATGATAAACACTTTAATTTGCACGGTCATACACTAAACGCTTTCGCTTTTGGACAAACAAGAGAAATAAAAGCCAGACTGCTTCTCTTTGATCGGTGAAACAAAGCTGTACAAACAAGAAAACAACCAAACACCATCTGTAGCACGGTATGAGCGCGGTACAGACGATCATGTACGTGAACCAACACCGGCAATATACAGTAAATGCGTTCATTCATAACATGTTTGATTAGCATCATGTAAAAGATAACAAAATAACATTCTTGCACTTCAGTGGGAGTGTGCCCTTCTAGCTGATTGTTCTCCCTCGATGTGAAATAAATCCACAGCGAACCCATCATAAAATATAAAAAATGCGAACAACACTATTTTCTAAATGAAAATAAAATAAACTCATTGTGTTGACACAGGACTAAATGACGCCTTTTATCTGATGGTACTGTGATTTTGAAAAGTACCTTTTCTGCATCCACTCACTCTCTCTCTGATAGTGAGTGATCACTTTGCACTTAAAAGGTTTGTGATTGTGCACATCTCTGTGCAGAACGGATCTCCTGTCCACTCATCCACGCCTCTGACATCCCATCTTCAGGATAAAGGTGTGTGCCGCAGGACGGTCCTGCAACAAGCAGAGATGCGCCCGACCCTCATGCTGTGCTTTGCCTCTGTGACCAAATCTCTGACTCTCATATGACTCAGTGGATGAAAAAGCCCATCTGATGCAGCTTCAGCAGAAAGCTGTGTGTGATGTCGAATGTGGTGAAGCTGATCCCCACCGCAACAGGTCCTTTGAGCCAGTTCATGCTCAGGCCTTTATACAGCCCGCGTCTGATTCCCTCCTGTGCTACAATATCCCGCATGGTCCCCAGAATTGTAGGGTAGGATGACCCCATCACGCCGGCAGTCTGCATACGCCGACGTACCACGTCCAGCGGGTACGAAGCCGACTGTCCAATCAGGCCTGCGCACGCGCCAAAGGCCAAGCGTTCGTAGGGATAGGGCTGGGATCGCTTCGTTTTTTCTACAGTCACACAAAATGTAGGACATAAGAATCAGGTGCAAGTTGGAAATGTGTGTTTATCTCCAAATTTGACCTAATTATCTGACATGAAAAGGAAAAGCAGCGATACCTGCATGCAGCTTTTTGAGGGTTTCGTAGGTGAAAAACGTTATTCCCGCATAGGGGATGACACCCAGCATGGTGGGGGTGAAGCCTCGGTAAAGGGTCTTCACGCCTTCCTCCTGGGAGATGCGCAGAAAGACGTGCATGATGTTACTATACCTGTAGGACACACACACACACACACACACACACACACACATCATAGACTGAAGAGATCACTTAGGTGTGAGGGTAAGACAACAACAGGGCATAAACCCAGAGAGAGACGGGGATTAGGTCAACTTTACAAAGCATCTGTACCTCACTTACAGGAAGTAATACCTAAATAAGATCATTGACTTAATTCTTTTCTAAACAGCGTTGTAGATTTGTTTTGACCTTTCATTGTAGACAACTTGTCAGCAAAACAAGGTAAAACAAATCTACTACGCTGTTTAGAAAGGAGTTAAAACAATGGAGGGATTGCACAGAACGAACGTACAAAACAAGATCCGTTGATTTTAACTAATGAGCTCAGGTTGATTTATTACATTTCTAGCGCAAATTTCCAATAAACCCCAGCGTGTGTTGTTATATCATGACATTTCAAAGACATTTTTGATAATGATATGTATGATGACACAGCAAATCAAATCAAAACAAACATTTTATCAGTTATTGTTGATGCAGACAGGGAGCTCTCTTTCATCTGCTCTTGCCTTTGCTCTATTGTGCTTACTGTGAGTATATTGATGTATATTGCACACTAGGAAATGAAAATGAGTTGTGATGTCATCATTTATGTTGCTATATGACACCTTTTTACTCACCAACAGTGTTATAATTTATATGACTATTAATGTGGAGGAGGTGATTTGGCCTGGCGCTGCTGCAGCAGTAAATAAAGTTGTCACTGGTCAACCTCACTAAGGCAGGTAAGTAACAATGTCACTGGGCAAGCACACTCAGATGTGTAAATCCTGCTAAAAACCCCGATTTACAAACACAACTACAAAAGGTACAACAAGGTCTGGCTCCATTCAATTCAATGCGCCGTAGAAGTAAAGGAGGAAAACAGTAAGTCAATGGATCAAACTGGGCAATAACAAACAATAACAATGTCTAGACACGCTGGCTCCTATTGATGATGTACATATCAGATTGTCATGGTCTGCGTCTGCCCCTTCCTTCATGTGCCTCCTGGTGTTTCTCCATCCTCTCTAGGTGCTCCTTTTGTGTCCTAGCGCTCTCATGTGTCTTCTGGTTTTCCCCATTTGCCCCTAGATCTCCAGCCCTCTAGGTTTCTCAAGTCATCACCTTTAGTTACAGCCTTTCATGATTTAGTATGTTTTTTCCCATCAGTGTTTATTATTTTTCTCCCCCCTCCCTTTGAATTGTAGTTATGTTTCCTGCTCTTTTGTATTGGGTTTTATTCTTAGGTCGAGTTAGTTTCTCCCCTGATGAGTCATTGCCTTCACCTGGTCCTCCTCCCACACCCCACACACCTGCAGCTCATCTCCCTCTCATCCTCCCTGTGTATTTAAGCCCTGTCTTGTCTCAGTGTCTTGTCGGTCCATTGTTTGTATTTCTGTCATGTCTTCTACTGCCCCTCGTGTTTGGATTCTTCTCGTGCCTTTGAATATTTGGATACCCAGATCTTCGTCTGGATTTTTGGACTTTGGCTCCCAGCCTTCTTTGGATTAATTTTTGTTGTTGATCATCCCAAAAATAAAGGATTTATTTTATTTATTCAACTTCTGCCTCGTGTCATCCTGGGTTTCTGCATTTTGGGTCCTCCAACATCTCAACCTGACACAGATAAAAGAAAGCTGCCGTTTTAGAACATCTTCATTTCTAAAACCTGCCTGAAACAAGAACCAATGAGATCAGCAAGACTTTCGTAGTTTACAGCTAGTTCAGCCATGATGGAAATCTCTGAAGGACTGCTCTTCTACAGGTGGAACTCAAAAAATTAGGATATGGTCCAAAAGTTCATTAAAAAAATGTATACTAATACATGAGACAGACTCCGTACATGTAAGGTCAGATATATCAAGTCTTTCTTTTTACATAATTGTGATGATTATGGCTTACAGCTTATGAAACCCCCAAATCTAAAATCTCAGACAATCAAAATATTAAGTTAAATTAATAAAACAAAGATTTGAAACAGAAATGTCAAAAATCTGAAACAGTGTAAACATACATGAACCTTTGCCTGAGATTGTAATTTTTCAACTTTCATCCGTTTAATCCTATAATCAGGAATGCTCACATTTCTTTGGCGGTGACAGCCATCCTGGCTCGCACCATGTCCAACGGGTAGGTTAGCATAGCAGCGGTCAACCCAGCCAGAGAGCCGGCCAGAAAGCGTGGGAAGGGAGGCAGCGCTCTGAAACAAGCAACCATAATAACAACAGTAAGTAATGTGTAGTAACATGTGTTTTAACTCTAAACAGAACCACTAATGCCCATTCCAAATGAAAGGGTGGGTGTTGACTGGGTTTCAAAGTTAAAATGAATATTTCCATTTTCTTTAGATCAGGGTCGCACAAACTTTTCAAGGCGATGGACAAAATCATCCAGTTAAGTCTTTTTTTAAATGTAAATTCCTTTTTTTTAAGAATATGTCTCATATTGATAAAAAATATTAACATATGAATGTTAAAGAGCATGGATCCACTCGAAAGGCCTCTTGGAGTGGTAATACAGGGAGTGCAGAATTAGTAGGCAAATGAGTATTTTGTCCACATCATACTCTTCATTCTTGTTGTCTTACTCCAAGCTGTATAGGCTCGAAAGCCTACTACCAATTAAGCATATTAGGTGATGTGCATCTATGTAATGAGAAGGGGTGTGGTCTAATGACATCAACACCCTATATCAGGTGTGCATAATTATTAGGCAACTTCCTTTCCTTTGGCAAAATGGGTCAAAAGAAGGACTTGACAGGCTCAGAAAAGTCAAAAATAGTGAGATATCTTGCAGAGGGATGCAGCTGTCTTAAAATTGCAAAGCTTCTGAAGCGTGATCATCGAACAATCAAGTGTTTCATTCAAAATAGTCAACAGGGTCGCAAGAAGCATGTGGACAAACCAAGGCGCAAAATAACTGCCCAAGAAGTGAGAAAAGTCAAGCGTGCAGCTGCCAAGATGCCACTTGCCACCAGTTTGGCCATATTTCAGAGCTGCAACATCACTGGAGTGCCCAAAAGCACAAGGTGTGCAATACTCCGAGACATGCCCAAGGTAAGAAAGGCTGAAAGACGACCACCACTAAACAAGACACACAAGCTGAAACGTCAAGACTGGGCCAAGAAATATCTCTAGACTGATTTTTCTAAGGATTCATGGACTGATGAAATGAGAGTGAGTCTTGATGGGCCAGATGGATGGGCCCGTGGCTGGATTGGTAAAGGGCAGAGAGCTCCAGTCTGACTCAGACGCCAGCAAGGTGGAGGTGGAGTACTGGTTTGGGCTGCTATCATCAAAGATGAGCTTGTGGGGCCTTTTCGGGTTGAGGATGGAGTCAAGCTCAACTCCCAGTCCTACTGCCAGTTTCTGGAAGACACCTTCTTCAAGCAGTGGTACAGGAAGAAGTCTGCATCCTTCAAGAAAAACATGATTTTCATGCAGGACAATGCTCCATCACACGCGTCCAAGTACTCCACAGCGTGGTTGGCAAGAAAGGGTATAAAAGAAGAAAAACTAATGACATGGCCTCCTTGTTCACCTGATCTGAACCCCATTGAGAACCTGTGGTCCATCATCAAATGTGAGATTTACAAGGAGGGAAAACGGTACACCTCTCTGAACAGTGTCTGGGAGGCTGTGGTTGCTGCTGCGCGCAATGTTGATGGTGAACAGATCAAAACACTGACAGAATCCATGGATGGCAGGCTTTTGAGTGTCCTTGCAAAGAAAGGTGGTTATATTGGTCGCTGATTTGTTTTTGAATGTCAGAAATGTATATTTGTGAATGTGGAGATGTTTTATTGGTTTCACTGGTAAAAATAAATAATTGAAATGGGTATATATTTGTTTTTTGTTGAGTTGCCTAATAATTATGCACAGTAATGGTCACCTGCACACACAGATATCCCCCTAAAATAGCTAAAACTAAAAACAAACTAAAAACTACTTCCAAAAACATTCAGCTTTGATATTAATGAGCTGTTTGGGTTCATTGAGAACATGGGATGCACCGATACCGATACTGGTATTGGCATCAATACCAGTATCGGTAAAAGTTAACCGATACCAATGCAGTTGCTTGAAAATGGCTTCACTGTAACTTGTCAATTCTGTTCACCTAATATTTTAGTTTTGATGATTTCCATTCAAATTTTACTTTTTATCTACCTCACAGTCTCTTCCTGTTGAAAGCAGAGAAGAAAATAAAATCTGTATTCCAAATCATTGCATTTTTTTTGTGAGGTGGAAGTATCGGTATTGGTAATCGGCATCGGCGAGTACTCAGATCCAAGTATCAGTATCGGTTTGGAAAAAAGAGGTATTGGTGCATCCCTATTGAGAACATGGTTGTTGTTCAATAATAAAATTATTCCTCAAAAATACAACTTGCCTAATAATTCTGCACTCCCTGTATTCTACCATGCTATGGGTCGCACAAAATCAGTCTGCAGGGCCACAAAAAGCCCCCGGGCTACACTTTTGACATGCGTGGGGTAAAAGCTAAACACTTACACAGTGAAATAATAAAGCTGTACTCACTTGCCCTGGAAGCCGTAGTAGCCCCCCAGCAGTTTCTTGTACTGCTCATGTGAGCAGAACTGGATGGCGGCGTACGGCATCACCCTCACCATGGTGGCAGAGTTGCCCCTCCACAGACTGAGTAGCCCGTCCTTCACGTACGTGCAGTAGATGACCCTGAAGGCCTCCTGCAGACAACGCATGCAGATGAATACAATCATTCACATTTTAATCTTGTTAATGCGTCTGGCATGTTTGTGTTACGCAACAGAATTTGCAACAATGTTCGACTGAACCTGTCTGTAAATGAGGACACATTTAATCACACCAGCTGTAAATCGGTTTACGCATAACTAAATAACTGTTCAGAAATCAGAATCTGGTATGTTGGAAAGATCTGCTGCTTTTTAAATGACTTTTTTAAGCTCCTGAGTGTGTGCTGGTGGTAATTACTCAGCTTATCACTGAATCTGCAAAACAAGTTGTGAAAATCTACAATTTATCAGTTCCTGTTCTGCCGATGGCAGAGGTGAATGAACTCACCTTAGCTGAGAATCGTTGTGAGGACACTGAAAAACAACAGGAGACACAATAAACCTCAGCTGAGCAACACACACTCATGATCTACTAAGAGGATTAACAACTGCTCTGAAACTGTTGGGAAAACTGAAACAAACTGAAAAAAAAAACACATTAGAGGTCACCTGTTGTACACAGGTGGACAGGCTAACGGCTAGTCACGTTTACAAACTGGAGTGATGTCGATCTTAATATGTTTTATACCAGTTTACTCACATTTTACTGCATAAGCCTTTTACAGCTGCATCGTTGTTGGGCGAAAGCCTCGTATCAGTATCAGTCACCTCAACACATTTCTGTGATTTAAAGATCAACCTCATTTATTTTTGTAATACATTTGCAGTGGTCTCTGGTAGGAATGAATGCATTGTAAGGTATGCTGGGGGTGGAGCTCCAGTGCACCTGCTTCACAAACTAGAAGTGAGCCAGATCAGAAGTGAGCTTCAGAGAGTCAGATTTCCTGATGTTTGAGCATTTCTGACCTTTCTGATCCTAGAGCTCCACCATCTATCGTCTATCAGAAGCTAATGCAGGAGATAGGTGTAGGAGACTATTTTCATGTTCAGCCTGCATGAAAAACTCAAAGTGACTGATTATAATCAGAAATAATCATTAAAAAATGTTTTTTCAGTGACGTTGACCTTTAATTATTTAATATCCAAAGAACAAAGGACAGTTTATCTAATGCAAAACATAATAATCATTCTCATTATCTACACTGTTATTGTGACATATTATTAAATTCCAGCTAGAACAATTTCAGACTGCAGTAGAAACACTATAAAACCTATATTTTTACCAAGTAGCTACAGAGTATTATGAATAACTGTGTCAATCCACAGTAGGAAGATTTGTAAAAAAAAAAAAAAAAAAAAAAAAAAAAAAAAAACTTGCATTAAAAGTTGTGATGTGTTTTAGAATGAAGATGTTTCATGATGGAGGGCAACCACCTATCAACTCCCTGTTTGGACTCAGTCATTCAGTCCAACAATAGCTAAGATCTGAACTATTCATAACATTTCAACAAAAAACACTTCATTTAAATTACTGCAAATTGTCAACAAATACGTTTAATTACCTTGAAAAATTATTTTGGTGCGATCCAAAGGTGCAATAACGGTTTTGGCCACGGCTCCAGCAAACGCACCGCACAGCAGTGAGTCCAGGGCCGTCAGCCTGGGCCTCAGGTCCTGTTGGAAGACATTTTTCATGTGATACTCAAAAACAGAAAGAAATAACATAATAATACTAGGGATGCACCGATGGATCGGCATTTGATCCCAATCGGCCGATAGCGCCCCTATCGGTTTTGATCGGAGTTTTCAAAATAGATCAAAGCAGACCGATCAGGTAGGGTTGTCACGGTAACCGGTGTAGCGGTAAACCCCGGTAAAAAAGTTGACAATAAAAATAACCGTCTTGTTTTGTAAAAAAAAACTATATTATCTCGGTGGATTACCGTGGCTGCGGTGTAGGCGCGGTGACCTTTACCAGCCACCGTATCATCTGCTGAAGTTGCCGGCGGCACATACGCGCTTTGTTCTTTACAACCAAAACTTTCTTGAAGCTAAAGCTGAAATAATGGCCAAAGGAGGAGACGGCAGTGCTCAGGAGGACATTTTTTATCCCTCATAGAAGACAAAGTGGGAAGTACGGGCATCTTTTGGATATTTGAAGAATGCCGAGGGACATTTGATAGAAGACGGCTATCCTGTTTGCAGCACGAGCAGAAAAAGTGTCTGTGAAAGGCAGCAAAGCTTCAAATCTCATGACACATCTGCGTGACCATCACCCACAACTCTACAGTCAACGCAAGGCAAGCTAACGTTAGTGTTTTAGCTAAAATGCGTGATCTGAGGATTTGGGTTGAGGGAGAATGCAACGAGTCTCTATATAAAGCAGCCGCAGCGCCGCTACGTGCATATAAACCGTGTCGCGGACACCCCCATGTTGAAATGACGCTACGCATTACGGGGCTCCCAGGGGCAGATAAGAGTTGGTCTCTCTCTGAGAATAATTATGAATTTAACAATGATTACTGCCTGATGACATTTTCCCACATCTGCAAAGCTCACTGGAAGAACACAAACCGAGGACAATATTTTCCTGATATTGGGTTTAGTACTCAAGTAAGGGTAAAAAAGTATCTGATTAGAAGGCTACTTGAGTACTGAGTATAATCTGATCTAATATTTTTAAAATGATGACAACAGACATAAAATAAGAAGATATGGGCAAATATTGGTATTTTAAAGACTAAAGGGAAAAAATGTAAACAAATAAACAACATAATTACAAAATAACACATTTTAGGCAAAATTTAGACACAAACTGAGGACAATATTTCCTGGCATACAGGGTTTATTTAATTGTGTGAAAATGTAGCATGTTTAAAAAAAATACAGTGATAATACTGAAAAACGTGGTAATTTTGGTCACAATAACCGTGAGGTTAAATTTTCACACCGTGACAACCCTAACACAGACCATTTTAGATTAGGTTACATTTCCTTTATTCCCAGATTATGTAGTTTGTAGCACTCATTATAATGTTGTAGAAAATTTTTGGCCAATCCACGTGATCGGTATCGGAGATCGGTATCGGTGATCAGCAGCAAAAAACCTGATCGGTGCATCCCTAAATAATACAACACTAGTTTGTATTTTAAAGTGAAAGGGATGTTTTGAAATGTATATTATTTACACATGCATGCACACAAGCAAGCAAGCACACACGCACGCACACACACACACACACACACACACACACACAGAGTGAAGCCAATACATTAGTAGAAACAACTCCTTCAATAGACATTCCCATTTACTGATAAGACGAACATTTGGTTTGGTAGCAGACAAAGCAAACTGATTTAATTATTTCTTACTTGTGAATAATTAACCCTTAATTACTCCAGCACACTGCAACCTGAAACCCTATTGATGCATTTCTGTAAAAGGCCAGGCCTGCTTAGGATTAGCAGGCATCTCCTCTCTATTTATGGCCGTGGATCTGCAGAGTCATGCCCTTCTAGTGAATGTTTACAAGCTGGAGGGCTGTAATAGATTTCACAATAATGACAACAATAACTGAAGCACGAGTGACCTGCTTTAGGGTTAATCCTCAATGAATCACTCAGTGGTGTGTGTACACTGGTAAAGTCCACGATCCACACCCAGGCTACACAAACCTGCCCAGACGGGTTGTTACAATACCACATGAAGAGAACTTGATTAACACAGCTCACCTTAGTCTGGCTGGACGGCGGCAGGGTCAGCACGGTGGTCTGGGCCCCGGGCAGGCGGCCCTGGTGGTCGTGGACTCGGTGGGCCATGTCCTGTCAGAGATCCCCGAGCGCCGTCCGTCAGACACTCACTCAGGACTAAACAAACGCACTGCGGAGGATAAATGCACATGAAATAATTGTTACAAACAAGAAACGCAAACAACCCGTCTGCTGTCGCAGTTCCTCTGTTATTATACGAGTACGTGAGCACGCTCACGGCCCATTTTCCTGCCAGAACATCCCGGTTTGTAAACACGGTGCTGCAGCACCAACGATCCATCCGCTGGAGTTCGTTTTAAAATATCTCACGTTATATTTCCCTGCTAGCTGTTTGTTATGCAAAACTATTGTAGACAAACAATAACTTAACAGCCACTTATTAAAATATTAAATAAATCGTAAACTATCATTCCTAGTGTTGCGAAACAAATAACTGTAATTCTAATGCGATTATTTCCTTATTTTTGATCATGAACGATGACTTACCCCTTCGCTCGCGTCCTAAACGCACCCGTGTTTACAAATATGCGGTCGACGCGTGAAGACGGACGGTTATGACGACCAGCTTCCTCAACAGAACTCTGGTTTGCCTTCCATTCGTCCTTCGCTCTTATAAAAACTTGCCACGGGCTGGGGTGCGACTCTTCCCACGTCGTTGGATGTTTCTGGAGATGTTCCCCGAAGATAACAAGTGATGAGTGACGTTCGTTTACAAGAGGACGTGGGCGAGATACCATTCTGGTCGAAGCTGCACACTGCCACTGCGCACAAGATCATTCCGGATTCTCGGACGGAAACTGGGGCAGTCTCTATCTTTGTTTTGGACTACAAATCCCTCAAAGCCCTTCGCCCATCATGGCAGAATCTCGCGAGAATCTCTGCAAAGTTGGGTTGCCATGTTTGTTTTCAACTTTTTTCTGAACATATTTTCTCATTTTGATCTGTTTGAATTCTACTTTTTAAATTGAAAAATAAAACGTTTGCACTTGTCATTAAAACAGATCAATAATTTTAATTGAGCAAAAAATGTGTTTAATAACTTAAACCAACTTTTAACTTGTTAATTAATTTACCAAGTGTTTTCTTTCTTTTATCACAAAAGTGTGATCCACTCTCAGAAGGGGTTTTGGCTCACCAAAGGTCATATTTTCAGTTTTGCTGATGGTTCTGTCTAACATTTTAAATACAAAGGCTTATAAAAAACAGAAAGATCATTTTATTTAATCGAAAAAGTATATTTTCTAACAGCATCCATTCATTCATTCTGCTTGTGTTTAATTATCTGTAAATGCAAAACTTCACAGTAAACAAATGAAGATAAATCAAATGTTTTACCACAAAACAGGTATAATAAATACAGGGACTAGTATTAACTAGCTGTAATCAAATAAACATATAATTATAAATACAAACAAAATAATTATTAAAAAAGAAAAGAAAAATGTGTTATTGTCCCTCTGGTTATTCGTTTACTGAAATGAAACGTTAGGTACATTTGAACATTCGTTTTGCTTTATTTTATTAGTCAATAAAGGAAAATACGATTGGTATTATGTTTTTCTTTAACATTTATGGAAAACTCAGACGAAGCTTGTTCGGCAGTTGCCTCTGGAACCAAACCTGGCAACCCGCGGGTCTGGTTGGAGCGCTGAAAAACTTGTTGTTGTCTGGGAAAATGGCGTCAAACGTAGAGGCCCCGGATCGCTGGTACCTCGCCCTTCTTGGCTTCGCTGAGCATTTCCGAACGTCCAGTCCGCCGAAAATACGACTGTGTGTCCACTGCCTACAGGCAGTGTTTCAGTTTAAGCCCCCGCAGAGGATTGAGGCTCGGACACATCTCCAACTGGGCTCGGTTCTCTACCATCACACCAAGAACAGCGAGCTGGCCCGCAGCCACCTAGAGAAAGCGGTGAGGGGCGTTAGATGTAGGAAAGAGCGGGGATGCTGAGGAGAAGGGGACGGGTTTAGGCCGCCGGCGGTGAGAACAACGGCCGGCGGAAGTGTTTAAATAACCATTTATTCAAAAAGCCTAAATTGTTCAAATGTGAAGACGGAAGCTCTGTTGGAGACTTAATTTGGACAACTGTTTGTTGGGTTCTGGTGCCGCATTCAATTAGCTAATGTTAGCTGAAAATCATCATTGTGAAGTGATCATAGGCTCAAAGTGACATTAGCAAACCTTTTGTTTCGCAGTGGTATATATCTCAACAACTTCCCCAATTCGAAGATGTCAAATTCGAAGCTGCAAGCATTTTGTCTGAACTCTTCTGCCAACAGGTAAGCTCGTGTAATTGACGACAATTTATGTTATTTGGTAGAAACAGCAATCACGGGTGGTGGTGTACTTTATCCTGCACTGTGACATCCCTAAGACGATTTCTATGAATTTTCAGAATTTGGTTGACTCTGCAAAACCTCTGCTGCGTAAAGCCATCCAGATTTCCCAGCAAACCCCGTACTGGCACTGCAGACTGTTGTTCCAGCTAGCGGTATGTATTAACACCGTGGTAAGAATGTAACAAGTGCTCAGATTTGGTGGTCCCAATGTTAAAAAGTTCAGCATTTCTGATTATTCACATGTGATGTCGTTTCAATCAAACCGTGTAAAATAAATCCTGCCTTACAGTAGGAAGTGACCGGAGGCGCTGATGTCACAAGTTCATCATAGCTGGTTTGTCCTCCCAGAAGACTGATTAATACTTCTCCATCTGCGTCGTACGAAGACGTGTAACTAGTGTTGTCAAAAAAATCAATACCTAGATATAAATCGATACTAAAAGTGGTATCTAGATTAGATATTCCATCCCTGTGGTATCAATATTATGGAGTCTCACATATACACAGCCTTCGTCAAGTACACCGACACGCACGACAGCCAGATGCCGTAAAGCAGCCTCCGCCTCCCAGACGAACAGAAGAAGACGCCGCATGGCTACATTGCAATTTCCCACGCGAGTTGTCTCCGATCCAAGTTTTGTTAACAATGGCAACAGCGAATTTGGGAGGCGCTTCACAGCCCAACTTAATTAGCATACCAAGTCCTACACGTAGTTGTATATTCACGCTTATGTGCTTAAAGGAAAACTCCCGTTTATTGCAACCCGGACTTAATTTCTAGCATGCAGTACGTTTGTTTACTCACGCTGACAACTTTGGTGCTACTTGGATTCCCCGGGGTATTTAGATCCATCGGCAAATCGCCATCAGTGTATATCCATGTAACTGGTGCGGACGGGCACCCATGGTGCAGCCTCGAAATAAGACATCATCTGCACCAAAACATCTTCATGTCGAAAGGTTTTGTTAGGAATCATTATCGTGATTCCCCCTGTTCGTTTGGAGCGGGTCTGGGATTTCTAGGCGTAAATAGACTAGCCGCGGCTAATCTAGCCGGCACTTTTAATGACGTCACTGCCGTGCGCCAGTCTGTTTTTATTAAGATTAGATGTACCTTTGTCCTACTGTGGAGAAATTCGTTTTCTCCCTTTATTGACCAACAGAGTTGTTCAAAAGTACAGAACAAAATATATGGCATTACATCTTATGACAAAAATGCAACTTAAACAGAGTTTAAGCAGCAAAACATCACTCTGCAAATAGTGTATATATAGTGAGACAATTCATGATTTAAAGTGTTAACTTTCACCAGTTTTTGTATGCACGTTTTAAAAAATGCTGATACTTGAAAGGTTTAAGCACTTAATACACTTAATTCTTAACATTTAATTTTTGCAATATAAATTGAGGAATGTTATTTTTTGAATAAGCTTGTTCAATAAATTGGTGTTTTTAAATAGTATCGAAATCGAGTATCGAGTTTTTTTTCCCAGTATCGAAATGAGTTTGAAATTTTAGTATTGTGACAACCCTACGTGCAACATCATTATGCATTGGTGCAAGGGCTGTCCAACAGGCTCACGGAGGCTGACAGAGACGTTCCCAAATTTTTAAATATTTGTCCAAAGTGACGGAGACCGCAAGCTTGTGATTGGTGGGATGAAACATCCTCAGCAGGGAACTGGTGCTGTCAATTTTCCTCTGTAGTCTTTTCTTCTTTATGAACTTGTGTAATTCTCCTCAAAATGCTAAAAGGCCCTCACATTAGCTTAAAGTAGTTTAAACATGGAAGCATTTGTTATTCAGGTGCAGCTCCTGATCTAGCCGTAAACTCTCCAAACTCTGATGCTGTTATAACCCACAATGCAGCTCGCTCATTCTCCTTCCTGTTGGTAAACGTGATGCCTGAGTTACGTTCCGAAAGCACGTAGAAAACGTTCTACCTCTTTAAATCCACTTTCTACTCATTTTCATGCTTAATGCAAAACATCTGAACCAGTTATCAGTAGGGATGTGTACCGAAATCGGTACTTTTTAAGGTACCGACTGAATTCCATAGTACCGACTGAGTACTGATTCACGTCATTTCAAACGGTGCCTCGTTTCGGTACCCGTCCTTCATAATGAGAACTTGCCAAGACAGCTGCGCATGCGCAAGAGCGTTTTGTCGTCGGTCGCTGTGAGCGAGTTGTAAACAGAGCAGCATGGTAGAAAGAACGCACGCTAAAGCTTGGGTCCACTTCACTAAATGTCATGGGTAACTGGGTGATGATGAAACCAGCGACAACGATCTAAGTGAGACATCCTCATCTTAATCTGCTCCGGAAGGTAAATAAAATGTTTAAGATAACGTTAGCTTGATATGTTAGCTTCTGTTTCGCTAATGGTGCATTTGCTTTCTCCTCGGAACTCCGAATTTCTGACTAGAAGAACATGAACGCGCTCTAAAGTTTGGCTTCACTTTACTAAATGCGACGGGTGATTGGGTGAAGATGAAACCAGTGACAACGATCTAAGTGTGAGGCATCATCGTTTAAATCTGCTCCAGCAGTTAAATAAACTGTTTAAGATAACGTTAGCTTGAGTCAATTCAATTTTATTTATATAGTGCCAAATCACGACAAGAGTCGTCTCAAGGCACTTCACATAATAAAAAGATATGTTAGCTTCCATTGCCACCGTTGTTATCAGCTAATGGTGCGTTCGCTTTCTCCTTGGAAATTCTAACTTCCCAGTAGGATAAATCAAATGACAAAAGACGGCAAAAGGAATGAAGATACTCAGTAAATTTAGTTCACAGTAAAGATGTTTGCTTCAGTTTAATTATCAACTTATAAAACTACAAGGACGATGTTAAAATACAAACAGTTGAATGTTATTTATCGTGATATTTATCAAATATGGTTATACATTGAGAAAAATATATATTTAATTATAAAAGAGAATTAAAATAATGAACACTCACAAGTATCAAATTGGTACAGTTAAGTACCGGTATCGATTCCTAGGTACCGGGAATTAGTACCGAATCGATTCAAATGTCAAAGGTACCCATCCTTAGTTATCAGTGAGAGCTGCACACAGATTTCTCACACAGAAACACGCTTATCAAAACAGAAGCAGATCGGTCAGGTTTTAAAACTGAGTTTCTGTGACAAATTCCCAGCAGAATGCCGTTGCTTTGTATTTTATTTATTTTTTTGTTCCTGAATGATATAATTCCATTTTTTCATATTCAAATCAAGTGTTTCTGCAGTTAAATAAACACTAATGACATTTTGAATGAGTCCGTGTTAAATAAAGTGCTTGTGTTTGTTTTTCACAAGAGAGTATCAAGTGATGGAGCCATTATTTCTCTCTCGCAGCAACTTCATACACTGGAGAAAGACTTGGTGTCGGCATGTGACCTTCTGGGAGTCGGAGCCGAGTACGCCCGAGTGGTGGGTTCAGAATATACCAGGTAAATGTTCCATTCCATTTTATTTACAAAGCACATTTCACGGCGAGGCCATCCAAAGTGCATGCAAAATGTCTCCTTATTAGCTGCTGTTGGGACATTTAAGGTTTCCGCTGAACGGAGAAAGTGTCATTCATCAAATGGGCACAAACCAACGTATTATGTCGTCAGTGAGAAGATTTAGTAATTTATACCTGTTTATTACCTCTGTGTAACACACTTTATTATGATTTTGTTTTCTTAGTTCTTCATTGTACACAGTGTGATGAGGGTTTGTTTTTACCTTTGCCGACATGTTTCGACGTAATCATCAGTCCGCTACTAGGTAACACAGACCGACATTGCAAAAATAGCACGAAACTAGCAAAATAACTTCAAAAGATCACTGTTGACGACAGGGACACGCTAATCTCACACGACGTTACATCCCCGTTCACACAAACACCAACCCAAACAAACCATTGATATAGTAGTCAACAGACTCAAACAGGATAAAACTCTACTCAGAAGAACAAACAGATGATATCACATTTAATAGCAATTTCAACATACTTCAAATACGATGGAACCATCTACAAACAACAGGAAGGCGTTGCCATGGGACACCCCTTGTCAGCTACCCTCTGAGAAGGTTTCATGGAGGACATAGAGCATAAAGCCATAACCACTGCCCCCCCCCGGACTGTGAAATCAAGTTATGGAATCGATACGTAGATGACATATTAGGCATCATTCCAAAAGGACAAACGGAAACACTAACGGAACACCTGAATGACATCAATGACACCAGCAACAAAATTTACATACGAAGAAGAAGGAGGCAGCAAACTCTCATGGACATGAAAATAACCAGACAGAGAGATGGGACCCTGAACATGAACACATACTGTACAGAAAACCAACACACACAGACCGATATTTATCATGGACATCTGAACATCCTACCATACATAAAATGTCAGTAATCAGAACACTTTACCACCGAGCAAACATAATAACAGAAAAAGAGCAACGCAGACAAGAAGACCAACACATTCAAAACGCTTTAAAAACGTGTGGATACCCGGCATGGGCTAATAACAAAGGAAAGCAACAAGTAACAACAAAAAGAAAATACGAACCAAAACAAAAAAATAGAAAACACTGAGCCAAAACCAGTAATTACACTTCCATACATCAAAGGCATAACAGAAAAGATTATGACGGCAATGAAAAAACACAACGTAAACACACCAACAAAACCATATATGTAGGGCTGGGCCATATATCGATATTTTAAAAATATCGATATCATGTTTAAACAAGATGACTTTATATCTTTATGTTGATATAACTGGTCAAACTGCTATGCTAGCGATTAGCCGCTATGCTAGCGGCATGTTGCTCCGTCTCTAAGTGGTTATTACGTCTATTCCCACAAGTTTGCTCAATCTGAGATCCTCTGGGTAAATGTGCAGCTCTAAACTTTGCATTTGGCGTCCTGGTTTTTAATTATTTGGGGACGTTCAATGCCAACAAGAGTTCTGTTTTTCCATCCTGCTTGTGCAGAGAGACGAGCCAAACCCTTCCCTCCCCTGTGTAATCAGAAAACATCTACGGATAGTCGGAGTGTCCAAATCACCTCAAACTTATTGTAAGGGTTTGAATGGTAAACTATAGGGTTAACGTTTTATTTTGAAGGTGAGCTCAACGGGTGAGAAATGTTGTTCCGGTTCCGTTTTATTCTGCTCTGCTTTGCTATGCTAGTAAATACTCCGTTACGAGCGATTCTGTTGAAAAAGGGGTATTGTGGAAGTTTGACAGCCAAAACATGTATAGAAATAATAAATGTCTTCTTCATACATTCTCCTGCAATGCCCTGGTCCTGTAGAATGATCCCTGGCATTTTTGCTGTGATTGCCTGTTTTTCTGTAAAATCACAGAAAAAGAGAGATGCTCGGGTCGAGCAGGCTGCTTCATGCGCGTTCACGCTCAGGCATCGCCCTCCGAACCGTTCTTTGAATGTTGTTTCAGCTGTCATCCACAATATGAATGTTACAGATACAAATACAAATGATGTCACTGGTGGTTTAGCTTTGGGCTGCTCGATTATGGCAAAATCAATAATCACGATTATGGTGACTGAAATTGAGATCACGATTATTTAGGACGATTTTTCTATTTATGTTGATTTTATTTGTTTTTATTCAGTCATAAAATTTCTCAGGGCACAATCAGGGCAAAAATAAATAAGAAACAAGATGATCACTAAAATAACTCCTGATCCCCAGTATAAAAAGACCAATATACTTATAGCTCATAGTCTATGACCCAAGGGCTGTAGACCTTGGTTTAACTCATTTAAGTCTAACCAGTACAGACCCAAATACCAACATCTTGCAAATACTGACAGCAAGAATTATACAGTGGCATTTATAACAAATAAACGCAAATAAATTGATGTTCACAAAATGTTGCATAACATTTATTGAAGTCGTGTCAAGGTGCTGTAGGAGTGCACTAGCACCATGTCCTCAGAGAGATTAGTTATTATTTATCAGCGTGAGGAACTTATTTCTACCTTATTTATAAACTATTTATTTACAAGTCCATCAGTTAATGTAATAACTGTCCCAACCACAGCTGCACCCCCCCCCACCCCCCAACCTGCTCTCACAGCAAACTGGGCAAGCTGCACGTGTGTTTAGCACGCGCACATTTAGCCGGTTTTAGCGGCTCAGAAGTCCGCAGGTGCGGTGTGTGTGTCACTCACTCTGGTTACTCCAACAGGGAGCCGGCTCCGAGAGCCGTTTCTTTAGTGACTGGCACATCACTACATCATTCCCTTTCCTAATGTCCTGAAGAACGGTCCGGAGCGCAGGCGGAGTGTTTAGCTAACCTGCAGGAAACGTCGACGACAGTTATCCAGAAAGTAGCTAAGGGTTACCAGAGATGTTTCGAGGTGTTCGCTAGGTACTTTTAAGATTTAAAAAGTCAAGAAGGGGGTCTGAAAAGCTGTTGGAAATAGCGTCAAAGTCGCCAAGTTGGCAACACTGGAGGAGCGCTTCATTTGCAACTCAGGGCAGCGCAAGTGGTAGGAGCAAATAATCGGCTTGTTTTGTTTTTTATAATCGTTCGAAACTCAGATCGTAATCGTGATTAAAATCCGATTAATTGAGCAGCCCTAGTTTAGCTCATCTAGTAAGACTTCGGGATTTCGTGCAGAAGACCCGGGTTCGATTCTTTATGTGAACATAGTTTATTTAGAGTTTCTTTTTTACATTAATGGTATTTTTTTTTTTACAGTAAGATGCCCAAATTTTTATTTGAGACTCGCCGAACGGCATTGAATTCACAGAAAAAAAAGATGTGGGTTCAACTTTCATTTTGGAACAATTTTCCAAGCAAGGGAAGGGAATGATCTGAGCAAGCAGGAGGACTGACCCATCATAAACCTTTGTTGGCTCTGCTGAAGAGAAAGGTACAGAACCAAATTATTTAATTAATTAGCGACACGTTCTCCTGTCCTCTGTCCTCCAGGCCACACACACACACACACACACACACAAGGGACTGTCTCACAGGGTATCTGTGGGTCCTTAAAAAGTCTTAAATTAGCGTTTCCAAATTTAAGGCCTTAAAAATCCTTAAAAATGACAAATAATCCTTAAATATGGTTTCCAAAGGTCTTAAATTACCCAAGACCCAATAAACTAGATTATTTTATTTCTATAAAATTTTCGTGAATTTCTAGTTAGTGTTCAGCGTTTTTTGTGTACGATATTGGCAAAAGCGGAACCATACACATGCAGTTGGTTGTGAAAGGGGCCTATTTTTAGATGAGCACATTAGCTGGTTAAGCTAGTGGGAGCTTGCGCCATGAGGAAGGGCAAGTTTAATGGTAACTGGATGGCTAATCCCATGTTCGCGGCGTGGTTAGCACCGGTTCCAGGCAATAGCTGGAAATTATAGCTTAAATTTATTTTTAAAAATAGCTTAAATTTGGTCAAAGTGGCCTTAAAAAAAGTTCTTAAAGTCTTAAATTTGGCTCCCTTAAACCTGCAGATACCCTGTCTCAGCTGTTATTTTCGTTCAGGAGTGTGCACGTACAGCATGTGCGCCTCGTGCACGAGCCTTCTATTGAAGCTGCCGTTACGCTTTTGGCCTGAGAGGGCAATCGCGAGCATAAAAATTCAAAACTCCGTAAAGTCCCTTTAAGAGTTTGTAAGGCGTGGGTTACGGCGACCGTAGCCCGAAAATAATACTCATAAAAGAGCAACCAGAGACTCTTGAGTCATTACAGTATAATCGCTGATATGAGTCAATACTGTTAGATTCCAGCCATGTTTGCCCTGATAACTAATATCTCCACAGTGCAGGACCCATGTCATCTTCATTAGATGCAATTACATCATAAATTTAGCTTAACATGATAGATTATTTTTTCTGTGGACAAGAAATAGACGATATGGGCCACCTCTAGATGAAATTTAAATCATTTTACTTTAATTATAAATATATAATTAAAAAGTGCCTGTGGGACATTTGATACACCTCTAGCTCTAGTGTGTGTGTGCGTGCGTGTGTGCGTGCGTGTGTGCGTGCGTGCGTGTGTGTGTGTGTGTGTGTGTGTGTGAGTGTGTGTGCGTGCGTGCGTGCGTGCGTGCGTGTGTGTGTGTGTGTAGACATCTGTACCAGAGAATAGGCACTAAGGTTAAAGTTTGACAAGAATCAATACATTTTTATGCATTTAATCTACTGATTTATGTATATAATTTCTCAAGACAGCTTGAAGTGAGTTAACTTGTAAATATTTTACAGGAGGAAAAATATCGAGATATACATCGTAATACCAGAATTCAGCAAAAAGATATCGAGATATAAGTTTGGTCCATATTGCCCAGCCCTACTTATAAGACAGTTAGAAAAAGACTGGAAAAGACAAAATATCATCGGCACAAAAATGTGGAGTCATAGGAAATCCCGTGCAAACTCTGCAATAAAACATACATAGGAGAAACCGGATGCCAACTCAACACATGAACAATAGAACATAGTAACGAGTGCGAGAAGGAAACTAGTCGAAGACACAAGAACAGCAAAACGGGAAGCAGAAAGCACAATAAAAAATCAGCCATAACTGACCGCTGTACAAGAGAAAATCGTATAATGGACGGGCATAACACACGGAGCATCAAAAGTTTAAAAGATGGATCAAAGAAGCAGTTGAAATAAGGAGGCATGGACCCAGGACCATGAATAGGGACAAAGGATAAAGGGAAGTGACGCCACCAACACCTGGTGGTTACCCTGACGAAGACGACGGCAGTGACGTTGAAACATGTCGGCAATGGTAGAAACAAACCCTCATCACACTGTGTGCAACGAAGAGCTAACGAAATCCGAAACAAACGCAGTACAAACGTAACAAAGACACTTTATTATGAGTTTATATTATTAATATGAATGGTTGTCTACTGAAAGGGATATTTAAAGTCAGAATAGTTTCTGATTACTTTCTTGTATTTTTTCAGAGCTTTGTTTCTTCTCAGTAAAGGAATGGTGAGTTTTCTAACCTCTTTCTTTCTTTCATCTTGTGTATAATTGTGTACGTTAAACATTGATTATGGCGACTTCCAACCTTCTAGTTGCTGCTAATGGAGAGGAAGCTTGGTGAGGTTCATCCTCTTCTCACACTGTGTGGAACTATAGTAGAAAACTGGCAGGGAAACCCGATCCAGAAGGAGTCTCTGAGGGTCTTCTTCCTGGTACTACAGGTCACACACTACCTGGATGCTGGACAGGTAGGAGATCTGTTTAAGGAGGATGGATGTTTAAAACATAACTGATGACAGTGTTTGGTTGTTTGTCCCCCCTCCCCTCCAGGTTAAGAGCGTGAAGCCGTGCCTGAAGCAGCTGCAGCAGTGTATCCAGACCATCTCTACACTCCAGGATGATGAGATCCTGCCCACCAACCCAGCAGACCTTTTCCACTGGCTGCCCAAGGAGCACATGTGTGTCCTTGTATATTTGGTAATGCTGAGTTTTTTTTTTGTTTGTTCACCTGCTGTTATTGTTCTTACTGTCATTACAGAGTAAACAACCACAAATGTTTGATTAGTAGCAAACACTCATGTAGGTTGTGTGAAAGATGAGTTTGAACATTTTCTTGAAAGAAAAGGAATCACGTCCTACCAATGAGAGCTTGTTGCTAGGGTACCAGAGGGATGGTGAATAACAATGAGTGATTCACATTCGCCTGACCCTGAGGAAACATTAGTTAAAAACCTGCTTTTGCTTCGTCGTGTTTCAGGTGACAGTCATGCATTCCATGCAAGCAGGCTATCTGGAGAAAGCCCAGAAGTACACAGACAAGGCTCTTATGCAACTAGAGAAACTCAAAAGTGAGTCTTTAACATTACATCATGCTTGACATTCCTCGTAGCGAGCTTTTCTTTTTAAATTTTGCATACTGATATTTATTATTCTATTCTTCAGTGTTGGACTGCAGCCCCATCCTGTCTACCTTTCAAGTCATTCTGCTGGAGCACATCATCATGTGCCGACTCGTCACAGGGCACAAGGCCACAGCGTTACAAGAGGTACTTTGTTTATCTCCCCATGATCGTCTCTTGGGTTTCGTGTCTTATCGTGTAAATGCAGGGTATCCGCGGGTCCTTAAAAAGTCTTAAATTAGCTTTTCCAAATTTAAGGCCTTAAAAATCCTTAAAAATGACAAATAATCCTTAAATACAGTTTCCAAAGGTCTTAAATTTTCAAAGACCCAATAAACAAGATTATTTTATTTCTATGAAATTTTCATGAATTTCTAGTTAGCCTTCAGCATTTTTTGTGTATGATATTGGCGTAAGCGGAACTGTACACATTCAGTTGGTTGTGAAAGGGGGCTATTTTTAGATGAGCGCATTAGCTAGTTAAACTAGTGGGAGCTTGCGCCATGGGGAAGTGCAAGTTTAATGTAACTGGATGGCTAATCCCATGTTTGCGACGTGGTTGGCACCGGTTCCAGGCAATAGCTGGAAAATAAAGCTTAAATTTAATCATTAAATAGCTTAAATTTGGTCTAAGTGGCCTTAAAAAAGGTCTTAAAAAGTCTTAAATTTGGCTCCCTTAAACCTGCAGATACCCTGAAATGATTCATGTTATGTCACGTTCCACAAATGTGGAATGACCCACCAAACACTACAAGAACAGGGGCTTCCTTTTCGATTTTTAAGAAACTCCTGAAGACCCTGCTCTTCAGAGAGCATCTTCTAAACTAGCACCCTCCCTGTACCCCCCCCCCCCCCCCCCTCTACTGTCCACTCCTTGTTCCCTCCTCTCCATGAGTCATCATGCTGCCTCACTGCCACCTACAACTGACTGGAAATTATTTGTAGTTGTTGTTATTGTTGTTGTTAGCCTCAAGGGCAACATGCCGATTATCACTTGTAAGTCGCTTTGGACAAAAGCGTCTGCTAAATACATAAAACATGTTTGTTCTAGAAACCTTGAAACTCAGTTTTGTGTTTTCCATTAACTCCTTCTTTTCTGTCTGTTCAGATCTCACAGGTTTGTCAGCTGTGCCAGCAGTCCCCCAGGTTATTCACCAACCATGCTGCTCAGCTGCACACTCTACTAGTGAGTATTGAAGTCTAAGCTCTTGTCTGTTGCTGGTGTGTACCTCTGGTTTCTGTCTGCCACTGACCACGTCAGGCCGGGCCAATCGCTCTGGTCATTTTCTGTGAACACTAAAATGTGATTAGTTCAGATATGATGGCACACACTCCTGTCACTATAGTGGATTGTCCTACACAGTAGTGGTTTGTCATAGGTTTTCGTATGATCCTCTTTTCAGAGGAATCTCAGTTTTTAATAAAAGCACCCCCATCCAAGCCTTTCTACCCCACGTTTACTTTAGATCAGGATATGGTTCAGCAATTAAGTACTATTTTCAACACTTGTCACTCCAAAAATAGGACAAAATAATAGAACTCCACTGGCATGTGGGGTGGTGATATTGAATTGTGACCATCTTTGTTGCAGTAGTGCACTTACACCCTTGTGTGTTCATCTTAAAACAAATCTAGCTTCTCCCATTCACCGCCAGTACACTGTCCATCCTCTCACAAATATGCTAAAGTACCCACGTTGGAATATAAAACTGGTTGTTTTAAAGTGGTAGAACAATTTAAAGATCAACTTCACAGAAAACATTTTTTACTGATTATTTCTGACTATAGTCTGGCTGAACATGAAAATAGTCTCCTACACCTATCTGCTGCATTAGCTTCTGATAGAAAATGGACGGAGAAACTCTAGGATTAGAAAACCCTCTAAAGAATGGAGAATGTTTAAATGTAAATTTAAAATGATAGTCAATGAAGTGTTTAGTCATCGGTTTGTTTTTGTCTCTTTGTCTCAATCCACCAGGGTTTGTACTGTATCTCTGTGAATTGCATGGACAACGCAGAAGCTCAGTTTACTACAGCATTACAGGTGAGCACGTTTGTCTTCACCTGCACCGTAATTGTTCTGATCTCTCTATTTCTCTGCTTTATACTCCAAACGTTTGTTGTATTTCAGCTCACCACTCACCAGGAGCTGTGGACGTACATTGTGACCAACTTGGCTAGTGTGTACATAAGGGAAGGAAACCGACACCAAGAGGTCACTTAAAAAAATATTAGGTTTTTCTTTTTATTATTATTGCAGTCACAATATACTGCAGGTAGTAGTTAAAGGTCGGTGTAATTATGAACATAAGATTGAATAAATGAGTGACAGCTCTTCCACCAGCTAATGAAACGGATTTAAATCCATAGACGGTGTTGCCGTCGCACCAGATCTCCACCAGAGGGCATCATTAAACTCACTTAGACGGTTTTCTTTTTTTACACTTGGATTAGAAAAGAATTAAAATACTGTCCTACAGAGTAAGAGCACAAGTTGTTCTTATTGCTAAAAGTACGAGAAGAATGTGTTTTGATGTGTTTTTGTTCTTGTGTTCTTTTCAGTTATACAATCTCTTGGAGAGGATAAACCCAGACCACAACTTCCCAGTGAGGTAAGGCTTTTTGTGCATTATCGCAACATAAAAGCAGTGTTTAGTTGTCTTAGTTAAAGGTACATGCTTTGTGTCTGTTTGATTTCAGCTCCCACTGCCTCCGTGCTGCAGCCTTCTACATCAGGGGGCTGTTGTCCTTTTTTCAGGGGCGTTACAACGAAGCAAAGTATGCAGACCTCAAAACTTCTGGTCTCCAAAGATGCAAACACGCTCTAGTGCTCATGATTTTTATTTTTTATTTGTAATGTGTTGCAGACGTTTCCTGAGAGAAACCCTGAAGATGTCGAATGCTGAGGATCTGAACAGACTCACTGCCTGCTCTCTGGTTCTGCTTGGCCACATTTTTTATGTACTGGGCAACCACCGAGTAAGAACAAACACTTAGCATACAAAATTATTTTACTGCTTACTTTAAGAAAGAAAGAAACTAGAGCTAGTTTTACATCCAGAAACCTTGGAAGTTTTAACCAGGATTTGCCTTTATAATTTCACCTCGTAGTATTTCCAAAATTAGGAATATTCTGTTCCAGAGTGATGCAGAGAAACAATTTTATTTATATTAGGTCTGTTTCCACAATCGAAACTTTTTACCAGACTTTTGCTGGATGCGTAGCTCCCCTGAACATCAGTAGTAGAGCCCTGCACGGGCCTAAAATCTGAGCCCGTGTCCGGCCCGGCCTGAGGGGGTGGAGCCCCAGCCCGACCCGGCCCGAAAAGGTTTTCAGGATTCTCTGGCCCGGCCCGAGCCCAAGCCCGACTTTTTTTTAACCAACTAAATGAAAACAAAGTGCATCTATCTTGACCAATGTGTTAAAGATGTGCAGGATCCGAGCGTCGCAGAAGCGCATGCGGGAAGCTTCCTCCCACTGAAGCGAGTGTTTTCCAAACCCTGTCGCTCAGAGAGACTTGTCACTTAGAAAATGTTCCCTGATTATGAAACTTTGGCTGAATAGCGCTTGTTCCTGTCTCTAATGTGCGACGCATCCAGGAGCCGTCTGAGGAGAATCCCAGAATCTCACATCCTCTTCAGCTCATATAAGCGCCTATGATTACGCACAAGCGTGACCCAACCCGGTCTCACAGTAGACTGGGTTGGACCTGTTCAGGTTTACGCAGACAATCTTCACATAGAATTGACTTACAGATATAAAATTAATTCAGTAAAATATAAAGCATTTTATTTAAATATCCATTCATTATTTTACAAGCACAGAGAGCCGCATCAGATGGATGGAAGAGCCGCATGCGTTCCCAGAGCTGCGGGTTGCCGATCCCTGCTCTAGTTCAAGATATCATTAAAATTCCAAAAGTGCTGAAAAGATTAAAAATGGGGCTTTCCATGCATATACAATACATTACGGTATCCACCGGGATTCCCTGTCTTGAGCGCAACGGATCACAACACAGATTCAGAGACGTGCGAGTTTGTCATCCAAAATGCTCCGTTTTATAACTTTTGAATGGCTGATCAGATTCAAATAATTCCAACGGTTCCTAAAAGTACATAAAAGCAGCTTTCCAGCGATTTATAGCATGAAGCAATCAGAGTTAGAGAAAATATCGCTAGGGGAAATCCTGCTGTACAGCCTGATTGAAACGGAACGCAGCGCTGCGGTGAAAGCGGATAACGTATAAAATGACATGTTGAGGACGCAAACTCAATACATCTCTTTTATTGTGAGGTAATAATTTCTCCGAGTTTTGCGGTTGCGGGCGGGAGTAGACATGCACGCTGCAGGTGCGGGCGGGAGTGTAACACACGTTGCGGTTGCAGGCTGTAATGGTCAGAAATTCAGGGGGAGCGGGCAGGAGCGGGATGAAGAAAACAGTCCCGCGCAGGGCTCTACTGCTGCGTGTAAGTGTTTTAAATTTTTTTTTAATGATTTCGATTAAAAATAAAGGAGCCCGACCCGTGTTCGAGGTCATTGCACAGTTGTTGGCCCGAAGCCCGGCCATCGGGCCGGGCCGACCCGAGGGCCTAGGGCTTCAGTGCAGGGCTCTAATCAGTAGGTACTCAGAATGGCCCGATGGAGTCACTGAGCAGGACATCAGCAGACGTCGCCAAAACAAATGGCCTTTGTAAAACTGGAAGAGTTGCTGGTAGAGCAGAATGGAAGGAAACATCGGCACATTGCGACCGCTGTGTTGTGAGTTTCGTCATTAATTGGTGCAAAACACGCAGACCGTGCCAAAAGCTGTGAAAAAACATAATCTCCGGTGCTTCCCCTACATAGACTCAGGCGTGGCACTGCACCACGGCTACGAAAACTACTTTATCTGTCTGACACTAAACGGCTACAAAAATGTTTCTGAATGTTCGTTCTGCGTGTTGATTCATAATCGTCTTCATTTTTCTTATTTAACACCGTGTAATTGATGTTATTTTACCTTTGGCTGACATGTTTCGGCTGGAACTTCCGCCTTCGTCAGAGCCGCCAGCTGTCCGTGACGTCACTTCCGTTTATGTGTTGTGAGCATGAAGGACGCGGGCAGCAGAGTACTATGTTGCCCTAGGGGGCGCTATAAATGGCAAGAATTTATACTGTTGAACTGGCTAAATGGATCTGCAAGAAATTTTGTAGATGTCATCATTATATAGTCTTAAGACAACATTATCAATATGGTAATGATCTATCAATCATTTCAATTTTAAATTTGAAAAAAATTACTAAAAATCATTGTTTGCTCGTAAGAGGCAAATATTTTTAGGTTATGTTAACTGCATAGTGATTAGTTCATATAACTAAATGTGAAGAGGTTGACTGTTTCTATTTACAAAAGTGCATTTTTAGGCTAGCAGTTGTAGCGCAATTTCCATTATGCCAAACTTCTTGAAATTTGGCACAGAGTTTACCCTTACGTGTTTCATGAAACACTTAAAATATAGTCCTGATTTGAGCACCCCCTTGTGTTTAATATTAGGACTAATTTTTATTGATGGCAAATAACGCAAATATATTTTTATTTTAAGATAAGTTTAACATTTATGATTTTCATAAAAATATAGGCAGATGTCCCACATCATAAAGGTAATCAAGGAATATTTTGAGATTTTTGTACGAAAGCATTGTTTTTTTTTTTTTTTTAGGAATTATTTACTTGATGTCAGTTTTTCAGTATTGTTGAATAAAAAAGTAAATAATTTTTGTTAGAATATTTTTTATATAGAGAGTAAATATAAACCATATACAACATTCCACATGTACCTATAGTTATCTGAGAATTTTCTACTAATTTTGTAAAGTAGCATTCTATTTTTATGAATATTTTAATTTTGGGTGTGTTCCTTAAAATTGTTTACCAATTTTTTTTAAAGCAACTGATTTAAAAACAACAGCCTCGTATTCCACATGTTGACTTTGCCACGTGAGAATATTTAGGTAATTTTATGATGATTTATGGATTTTTCAGGGTTTTTTAAAATCATTTGATCAGTAAGTCATGAAATGAAACTCATGGTTTTTGTTGAAATTGCATTAAATCTAGAGACATTAATAAGTACTAATATTCTTCCCAATATACTATTGATGTTTAAATTGTTGTTTGGTAATCTTTAGAGCAAATTAGGATTTTATAATAAAGTTTTTGTTTCGGTTAGTTTAATTATAAATCTCAGTATAAATATTTTTTGAAAAATGTTTTATTTAGAAACAATAAAATTACAAAACCTGAATTCTTATGACCCCATGATGGTCCAAGAATATTTTGGAAATTTCTTTAAAGGGACTTCATGGAGTTTTGAAATTTTATGCTCGCAATTGCTCCCTCAGGCCAAAAGCGTAACGGCAGCTTCAATAGTAGACTCGTGCACGAGGCGCGCATGCGGTACGTGCACACTCCTTAACGAAAATAACAGCTGAGACAAGGTTTAAGGGAGACAAATTTAAGACTTTTTAAGACCACTTTGACCAAATTTAAGCTATTTTTAAAAATAAATTCAAATAAAAATGTGGGCATCTTACTGTAAAAAAATATACCATTAATGTAAAAAAAGAAACTCTAAATAAACTAGGTTCACACCCAGAATCGAACCTGGGTCTTCTGCACGAGAGTCCGACGCCTTACTTGGTGCGCTAAAGCACCAGTGACGTAATTTTTATCTGTAACATGTATATCCTTGATTACACCTGAAACAACGTTCAAAGAACGGATCGGAGCAGAAATGGCTATTTTGTTGCTAATTTGCAGGAAATCTCTAGAAAAAGTAGCTAAGGGTCCTCAGAAATGTAGCTAGCTTTGTCACTAGGCGTTAGGAACAGCGACAAAGTGGCATTGCCTTTCTCTCTGCTGCTAAAGCTACGGATAGCAAACGCTACGGGCTATGCCTGAGCGTGAACGCGCATGAAGCAGCCTGCTCGACCCGAGCATCTCTCTTTTTCTGTGATTTTACAGAAAAACAGGCAATCACAGTAAAAATGCCAGGGCTCATTCTACAGGACCAGGGCATTGCAGGAGAATGTATGAAGAAGATATTTATTATTTCTATACATGTTTTGGCTGTCAGACTTCCATAATGCCCCTTTAAAAATAATACATTTTTAATTAATTTAATAAGCATAGTCAGTAATATTGTAACAGTAAATGGTAAATAGCATGTGTTTGTATAGCGCCTTTGTAGGGTTCTACAACCCCCCAAAGCACTTTACAACACAATCTGTCTTTCACTCATTCACACATACAGTCACATGCTAGCGGGGATGAGTTACAATGCAGCCACAGCTGCCCTGGGGTGCACTGACGAAGGGTGAGGCCTGCCGAAAACTGGCACCACTGGTCCCTCTAACCACCACCAGCAGGCAAGGCGGGTTAGGTGTCTTGCCCAAGGACACAACAGCAGCATTCTCTGGTCAGAGTCGGGATTGAACCTGTAACCTTCCGATTACTGGAAGTCCCGCTACACCTCCTGAGCTACTGCTGTCCCATAAAGCACGACTTAACTGACTAAATCTCCATGATCTTTAAAAATTAAACGATGGAACTGAATTGCAATAGGGATTGAGATGTTTACCATACCTATGAAAGATTTTTGCATAGGCTGTGCAAAAGTTTCAAAGAGTTTTCCTGAGTGTTCATTTCATTCTGCCGGTTGAAGTGAGCTGACAGGACGTCGGCAGGAGAACGTGTTTTTGGGGCTTTGCGACGCGAGGAATGGAGAAGGCGGGGGCGGGGCCGTTTCAGTCTTTCACCCATTCATACACGCAGTCACACGCTGGTGGGAATGAGATGCAATGTAGCCACAGCTGCTCTTGGGCGCACTGAGAGGTGAGGCGGCATTCGCTGGTCAGAGTCGGGATCAAACCTGCAACCTTTTGATTACTGGAAACCCCGTTCCACCTCCTGAGCTACACGTGACTTAAATGACTAAATCTCCACGATCTTTAAAACTTTAATGATGGAACTGGATTGTTATATGGATTGAGAAGTCAGCCATGCCTATGAAAGATATTCGTAAGAGCTGTGCAAAAGGTTCAATGAGTTATCCTGAGTGTTCCTTTTATTGCGCAGCTTGACGTGAGCTGACGGGGTGCCGGCAGGAGAACGTGTTGGGGCGGGGCCATGTGAGGGCGGGTGGGGGACTTGCGCTGGTTGGCTTGGAACCCGTTGATAACTGCTTGCAGTTCTAGTTTTGTCTTGATGGTGCTTGAACAGTTTGAAAATGTACTTTGAAATGCTTGAAAAGTGCTTGAATTTGTCAGTGGGAAAAGTGTAAGAACCCTGTAGAAATAAATGTTTCTGTTATTCTTGATCTGAAAGCTTTTAATGCTCTAGCTCACACCTGGTATCTAATGGGCCATTCCCATCTGTACCGGGTTGGCCCGGGCCGGGTAGCCCCAGTCGGCCCCAGCCTGGCCCGGTTGATTCCACACATCCTTGCCTTAAGCCCATGTGGGCTGATTCTACCCACCAATCAGAGGCTTGCTCTAATGGAAGGTGTGAATTTGCTGTCAGCAGTGGGTGTGTTGGCCCTGGTCGGCCTGAAGAAGACCCCCTCGAGAAGAGGGCTGAGAATGAGCTTTGGTTGGCCCGGAACAATATCAGGCCACCCAGATATGTAAACAACCTACGCTACCCGGCCCGGGCCGACCCGGTACAGATGGGAATGGCCCATAACATCCGGAAAGGAGGGATTTATCAGGTCCCTTTAGTTTTTAATCTATCCCTAATTTTGGTTTAGGAACATGGAGCAGGAAATGGGAGGGATTGATGTAAGCGCCCAAACAAACGAACAAAAACGTTCCACGTGTATGAAGCCAGAGCCAGTGTTCGCACTCTGGTTGACTTATTTAAAGAGAGAAAACACGTTTCTATGTAAAGGTTCTTGGTGCGGCGTTTTCAGCTGCAGCCAGATTCAGACTGACAGTTTCATTAGGTTACTGGAGTGTGTGTGGAGTCCACAGACTTCAGTAGCCAATAATACATCAAAGGGCTGCATGGTGGCGCAGTGGTTAGCACTGTTGCCTCGCAGCACGAAGGTCGCAGGTTCAAAACTCGGCTGCGGCCTTTCTGCGTGGAGTTGCGTGTTCTCCCCATGCATGCGTGGGTTTCCTCCGGGTACTCCGGCTTCCCCCACAGATCACAACATGCCCTATAGGTTATAAATTGTAAGTCGCTTTGGATAAAAGCGTCTGCCAAATAAATAAACATAAACATGTCTTCCTCTTTTTGAACCTGTGGTAAAGGAAGTTATTGGAGTCTGCTTCTTTAAAAACCGGAGAGAATTCGGGAAAGAAGGTTTACACTGACTATTTAGTTCAAGTCTTCACCAACATGGCTACAGGAAGTCCTGTGTGTGCTGGGTGTGTACACAGTTCATACATTTCTAGTGTCTGGGATGGATAAATGTCACAACAGAAAGCAAAACCAAATGTACGCTCGAGCCCAGAGAGGACGCGTTGTTTCTTGTGACAAGGATGTGTTGAGGGAAGTAAACAAGGAAGAAATAAACTATAAAGAGGGTCATTTCTGTGAGCTGCATGGAACTTTTATTTAAAGTGCATTAGCAGATTGAAAAAAAATGTTAATTCACTCTTCTGGGATAAATGTGGCTAAGAGGAAACAGCTATTTAATTTTATTAGGCTAATTCTTTTAACATGAAGTTGAAAGGGTTGTTGATAAAGAATCAAACCTTCTGGTGGTGTTGGTCAGATTGTCCATGCTCCCTCCCTCATAAGACACCCTCTATTCCAGGTTATGAAATCTTAATTTCTTTAAGCCCTGAACACCACATGAATATATTAAAATATCTGATAAATCATTCAGTAATTGTTGGCTTTTCTGGGCTAAACACGTGGAAGGCTAGCTCTTCCCTTTTTAGAGTTTGTAGCAACACAATCTTAAATTTGAACTTGTGTAAACGGAGGAATTGTTTATTTTTTGCAAAGATGATGTTGACCCAGATTCATGGTTTGTCAATTGTCTGAAAAGTTCTGCTTTTCCCTTTTAGGAAAGTAACAACATGGTGGTTCCTGCCATGCAGCTGGCAAGTAAAATCCCTGATATGTCAGTCCAGCTCTGGTCTTCAGCTCTGTTGAAAGGTAGTTTTAAGTATTTGTGTTGCAAGATAATTCAGTGGAAGATGCTCTGCTCATTCTCCACTATGAATAAACTCAACATATGCTTTTGATTCGTGCACCTTGTTTACGACGCAACCCGTGCCTGTGCTGTGCTCACAGACCTAAACAAGGCTCTTGGAAACGGCATGGACGCCCATGAAGCAGCACAGATGCACCAGAATTTCTCCCAGCAGCTGCTGCAGGACCACATTGCTGCCTGCAGCCTCCCAGAGCATAACCTCATCAGTGTACGTCATCACATCTCACTTCAGTTCTGTAACAAATGCACATTTGTATTTCTGATCCAGATGTTTGTTTATTTTTTCTAAAATGCATCTCCTCTATTGCAGCTATTATAATATGTCTGTTTTTCAGTGGACCGATGGCCCTCCCCCTGTCCAGATCCAAGCCCAGAATGGTCCAACCACCAGCCTTGCAAGCTTGCTATGAGGAGCCTCGTGGTGCCTGTGACCATCGCTGGTCAACGATCACAAACAGCAATTTGATGCCTAACAGCCTGCTATCCACACCTCTGTAGCTTGACTGTATTTTATCAAGTGACAGGTTGGACCTTCACTTTATTCGCTTCTCAAGATTTCTTCCTGATTGTCTACTTTTCAAATTTTTTCCCCTTAAAGTTATAAAACTCTTAGACTCTTGACGGCATGGACACGTTTGGGGCACCAGAACAGGGTCAGACTGTTGGTTAGGAGTAAAAGACTCGCAGGATCACATCGCCTCAGAACCTTTCCTCACATTTGCCAGTTTTCTCTTTTTTTCATTTAATGGGAAAAAAATGGGTTAGATGGAGGCAGTAAAAAATGTAGAAGAAATAAATTAATTCGTGATGCTATTTTTGTAACTGTTGATAAATATTTTACACCTTGCCTTTTCTTTGTATGGATGCTGTTTTCTCTGTCCCATGCATGGAAGTTACTGACACCGACTCCCTGTACAATAGGTTCTGAGCTGGGTTGCTAACATAAAGTTTTTGATATTTTTTTGCACAAGATTCATGGTAGGAAATGTAGGGACTTGTAACTTATTTTCACAGAATATCAATATTTGAAGTTTCATTTTTACAAACTAGCTATGTAGATTTTTTTTTTTTTTTTTTTTTTTTGAGACAACACCATCCACTATGGCTAAAGATGCATTTAAAAACTACCGGGTAGTAGAATTATATATTATGTTCACTAATACCCTAAAACAACACAGAGTCACTAATGTATTTAAGTTTCAAGATGGAGTAATACCTGTTCTTGTGTATTACTTTTTGAAAATCAAATTGAGACTTTGATTTTTTTTTTATGGTAAAATAAATTTATTTTATTTTGTTATATTTTCCATTTGTCTTGATAGTTCTAAGTTGTCTTTTATCAGTCTGTTTGTATAGATTTGCCTCTTGTCGAACCTTTACTGTACAGTGACATTTTATAAATTACAGTTAGTAAGGTGTGACATGTATTTTAGCTTTCCTATGTAGTTATCTCAAATGCTTTGTATTTAAAGCACTAAAGGAGTGAAAACACAGTTTTGAGCTTGAGTACTAGCCATATTTTATCCAGTCCCCCTGTTTTTAATTCTTACGTTGTTTTCAATAAATTTCCAATAAAATATGATTGAATTAATCAGTTTATTGATTTTTCACTCTGCACCCATATTTACTTGACAGTGTGGGGAGGGGGTCCTCTGGTATGGAGGAGAGAGTGAGAGGTGCTGCTGTGACCTTGGTGACTTCAAATTATGTTAAATTCAACAACTTGTATGGAAGGTTTGGTTTACTTTTTGGTTTCAGTAGATGATTTAATTGTTTACCTTATCTGCTCCTCTCCAGAGAGACAATGGACAGGGAGATGAAAGTCAAAATGTCCCCATAGGACAGGTTAGTGGAAAAGTTTGTAGTTAGCTGGTTAGTGACGGAGATCCATCAGCATCATTAAATCCTAATTCTACCCACAACCTCCTGCTGCTATTATTGTCGTCAGCAAACATAAAATAAACATCTCAAATGTTTTATTGGAAGTTTAGGATTCTTTAGCGTTAGTATATCCAGCAGCAGAGCTTGGTTCATGCTGTTAACACATTTCTGAAATGAGACCATTGGGTTCAAACAAAACAACTAACCAGGCAAACATGTCTTTTCATGTTATTTGTTGATATTGATTTCATTTTACTGATAACTCATTTCGTTTTTAAAGCTCACTTATTTAAAGATGCACTTTGCAACTTTTTCATATTTTTAAATCATTTTCTTAAGCCACTATGTGCTAAAATGACCCTTTACAGGGTTAATGAAAAGCCACTAAGCCCCCATCTCCTCCTGTGGCCAGAATATTCCACTTGCAACTTTAGAGTTGCCAGCTTTTTCAAATTACAAAACCTGAATTCTTATGACCCCATGATGGTCCAAGAATATTTTGGAAAGTTCTTTAAAGGGACTTTACGGAGTTTTGAAATGTTATGCTTGCGATTGCCCCCTCAGGCCAAAAGCGTAACGGCAGCTTCAATAGTAGACTCGTGCACGAGGCGCGCATGCGATACGTGCACACTCTTTAACGAAAATAACAGCCGAGACAGTCCCGTGTGTGTGTGTGGCCTGGAGGACAGAGGACAGGAGAACGTGCAGCTAATTAATTAAATAATTTGGTTCTGTACCTTTCTCTTCAGCACAGCCGACAAAGTTTAAGATGGGTCAGTCCTCCTGCATGCTCAGATCATTCCCTTCCCTTGCTTGAAAAATTGTTCCAAAATGAAAGTTGAACCCACATCTTTTTTATCTGTGAATTCAATGCCGTTCGGCGAGTCAAATAAAAATTTGGGCATCTTACTGTAAAAAAAATACACCATTAATGTAAAAAAAGAAACTCTAAATAAACTATGTTCACACCCAGAATCGAACCTGGGTCTTCTGCACGAGAAAAAAAAATGGAGATGACATACCTGGCACTGCAATCTGGTTCCGTCAAGTTCCCTGCATGTTTTAGATCATGAACACAGCTGATTTGTTTAATTTAGTGACAAATCACTCCTGTAGACCCTAAGGAAGGCTGGGGAGATGTTTCAGCTGTTAGAATAAAGTGTTAAAAGACAAACACACCAAAAGGAGATACTTTTTGATTTGGTTCTACTAAATGGACACTAAGGGTGCCAAAAGCAAGCCAAAACAGCCTAGTCTCCCTTCAAGTTGTTAATTTAAAAACAACCATGTAAATATAATTTTACAACTTGTTAAAAAGCAACAGAATACAGCAAATGACATCTACTTCACTAAGAGTGAATCAACCGAGAACCTCTCTCTGTTGTCTTCTTCGGAGCTGCGGCCAAGGCTGGGACATGTGGCAAAACATGTCTTGGCTTCTTCAGGCAGAGCGGGTTGTGTCTTGCTAAAGGACACAACAGCAGAATACTCTGTCAGAAGCCGGGATTGATCCTTCAACCCTGGGACATGTGGCAAAACATGCCTCAGTCTTGGCTTCTTCTCAGGAGGAACAGAAACTTGTTAACAAAAGGCAAACAAATGCTTTGCTACTCTGTGTTAAAATGAGAATCCCAACTTGATATAGAATCAGGCTTGTCTGAGCAGGGACATGTAGAAAACATGCAGCCACAGTGGCCTCAAGGACTGGGTTTGTTCGCCCTGTTATTCAGTATAGAGGTTGGTTTTATTTCTAAAAACAAAATAAAAGAAGGTAGAGCGGGTTGTCCAGTAATCAGAAGGTTGCAGGTTCAATCCCAGCTCCAACTAAAGAATGCTGCTGTTGTGTCCTTGGGCAAGACACTTGCCTGCTGGTGATAGTCGGAGCGACGGGTGGCGCCTGTGTCCAGCAGGTCTCGCCTCTGTCAGTGCACCTCAGAGCAGCTGAAACTACATTGTAGCTCACCCCCCACTAGAGTGTGAATGGGTGAATGACTGATTTCATTGTGAAGCGCCTTGGGGGGTTTGTAGAACCCTAAGAAGGCACTATACAAATACAGGCCATTTATCATTTAATGTGTGAGAATGTTTAGATACTTTATTGTAGATTCATACTGCCTCCTCTGCTTGATTTGTTTTTCCTCAAAGTGCACCAGGCTGATGCTTTTAAATCTAAAATGTCCAAAATTACTGGCACTTTCATTTGCAGCAGGTTCACTTGCTGGGGAGGGTGTGTGTGTGTGTGCTTGTTAGCGGCGTAACCAACGTAGAATCTCTGTGTGCGGGGTTTCTCACCGTTTTCACCCTTTACCCGTTTTCATGTCTGAAGCTTGTATAATACACATCCAGGAAGTGTGGTAGTGGTTGGGGATTGTCAACAGTCTTAATATATGACTTTTATATGATAATAACTAATGCATGACCTGCACTTGCAACACTTCATTCAGGGTCAGAGGAACCCAAAGCACTTTACACCACAGTGTATCATTCATTCATTCACAGGTAATGGTGGTGAGCTATATTGTAGCTACAATTGCTCTGAGACTCACTGACAGATGAGAGGCTGCTGAACACAGGCACCACCACCAGCAGGCAGAGGGGGTTGTGTCTTGCTAAAGGACACAACAGCAGAATACTCTGCCAGAAGCCGGGATTGATCCTTCAACCCTGGACAACCTGCTCTACCTCTTGAGCCACCGCTGTAAGATATTTTAGTGTATTTACTAAAAAATGTGATTTCTATAAGATCTATTTTTATAAACCATGCAAATCAGCAGCAGGATAGTTTCAACTTGTAAGAAAATATTATTTGGGTTTCACTGATTAAGTTTTTTTTACACAATTCTGAGAAAGTATTTTTTGTAGGCAAAGTGTAAGCTAAGTATTTTACGTATCTTGAGAAATAATACGGCCCAAATTCAGAACATGACATAAACTGGTTGTGTGGCTATTCAAATATTGGAAGAATTGATGCAGACTTTCATAATTTTTCAACATGTTCAGGCAGAAAAACCTCTCTGAGAAAAACACAAGGAACCTGGTTGCCTTCATGTGTGTAAAACGTCAATAAAATCCAATTAGTGCTGCAACAATTAGGAGCAGCTCTGTTGATGACATGATAATAAATCAACCAACACATTTCTATGACAATCTGTTGCACTAAGACTCTTCTGATTAGTGTTGGCTTTTATATAGTTTATCTATTATTTCGGGAAGCCCATAAATGGGGAAAACAATATTTCACTGTGACTTATCCGTGTAATATCGACTAGGAATAACATTGGTGCAATCTTTGTAGGTAGTGTAGTAAAATGTCATCAATAACATTAATAATGTGAGGAATATATAATTTGGGTTTTACATCAGTACTCGATAGGTGAGGCCTGCCTTCTTCAGTAAATATAAATCATATGGAAAAACAGTACAGTAAAAAAAACGCACGTGCAGATGTATGAAAACAGCAAAATAGCTTCAAATGACCAGCGGTGATATACACAAACTTTGAGGGAAAAAAAAATATATTATGCATTACAATTTCTCCGTCACTTCCGTCAAGTGGTTCCAAAATAAAGATTTTGTCCTTACATCTGAGCATTTACCGTTTCCGAGGTGTGTATGAACGCAGCATGACGCCGCCTGTGGTGGTTCATTACATTATCTGGCAACCGGAGTGGCAGCGGACAGAAGAGAGGGGATCCCCGGGATTTTTTTACACCAAAGCCAGCAAAATACTGACATCAAACAAGTGAAAATAGCGGGGGAACTCGACCTAGCTCCTCCTATACCCCGTAAGTACTTAAAACTTTATTTCATTAACGTGTAATCTTCTCCGATATCTTAAATTTCAATTAAAATGTGACGATGACGGAAGTTTTTTTCTGTCGGCGTTAGCCCAGTTAGCATAGCTTGATCTTTGCTAACGTGCAAGAGGTAACAGTTTGTGTGTAGCTCAGCTACGCACACACACTCCCCTACTCAGAGAACAGACTGCTCTCAAAGTAGAGGAATATTAACTTAACTTTTCGGGGCAAACTTGTCATATACTATCTCAGTAATAGCCAATAACGAAAGTTGTTTTCTATATTTACTCACCACAAATCCAGAATATTCAGAGTTAAGATGTCTTTTTCTGACTAATTAACTCTCGGTTATTCGTGAATACATCTAGAGACTGTTTGCAGACGACTGACCGGGGAGTTAGCGTTAGCAGGCTAACTTAGCTTGCTCGTTAGCTCGTCTTGTAATTCTCGGTGCTCTGTGAGACGGGGTCATTGTCTGTCGTGTATCGCTATTTGGAGGCGTACAAACATCCCAGCTATATATCACGATTTCTGTTGCCACCTTTAGGGCACCGACTACATGTTTCAGCAATTCGAAGAGTAATCTCTGTAACTGTTGATAATTATCGTGAGCTGGTTGTTCGCTTTATTTAGCAATTGGTTTTTTTAGCCGGACAGATGGACAGGTTGTTGTTGGGAAGCCAAGTTAGCATCCGATAGCTTGTTGTTGATGTGTTAGTTGGACATAGGCAGTTATTCTTTTGGTCAAAGTTGCGTCACTTAAGTTTATGGACATGATACCCAGTGCTGCCACCGGGTATTTCAAAGCCCATTGTCCATTTTAACCGTGGGTAAACACGGTCGTAGCTTTATGAGCGATTGATCTCATAATTTTGTCAGATTAGCTCAACCGTGAAAAGACTTTATGGAGGCA